AGATTTTTGATTATCATTTTAAGTTAGACTTGAAATTAAATACATGAATGCATGAGTTTTAAGGTTTCAATTTTTAAAAATGTGAATTAAAATGGCGAATAGAAAGATTCAGAAGCATTTCTTTTAGGGGAACTTTTGGCACTTGCGATCTCCATTTGGAAATTCCCAAAAAGAAAAAGTGGAATTGTTGGCTGCTGTTAAACCTAAAAATGTATGTTGTGTTAGTGCTAGAGAAGAGAACTGTGGCTGTTTGATGTCTCATCCAGATGACAGACATTTAAAGTTGTTTGTGAGCTGCAATTGAAAAGTGTTTAGGAAATTTCTTGTGGTGAAGTCAAACTTGTGGCCTGTGTGGCCACAGGTGTTAATGCAGTCACCTTTCTCACTCATTATGTGTTAACAGACCTCTCTGCTGGAGGTTTCTTCTTTTAACAGGTTTCTACCTGTTAAAAGGGAGTTTTTCCTTCCCACTGTTGCCAAAGTGCGACAGTGGGACAAAGGGGCTCATAGCTTGCTAGAAGCTTCTTTAAGCCATACTCGCGTCTTTTGATTTGTTTATTGAGCCTGTTCGGCTCATTTGTGGTTTAGTGGTTTAGTAGAGTGATTGTAGGTGAGGTCACTCTGCAGAAAGCAGTTAATGCTCAATAATAAAAATGCAGATAAAAGACTTTGAGATGTATTGATGAGCACTTGTAGAGTAATTGGCACCATTTGTATGCATTTAGTTTTCCTATTACTGGGAGTATTTGTTTGACTGAGGTCAGTCCAGCTGCATCATCTTAATATTTATTGGACTCATTCTAAGGTTTGTTATCTGCAGACTTTAACCAAACTTTGTTTGATTTGATTTGACAAGAAACCATTCTGAACCCACATGCTGAAAATCTTCTGTCTTTGACCATGTATCCTTTCTTTTTACACTTAAGACTCTCCAAATATGTCTCATTAATATAAATGCTTATTCAGTAAGTAAAAATAGTAGCATTTGTCATCTGGGTTTTATTTGCTCTGCTGGAAGAGTTGGCAGTGAAACCTGTCAAACATGTTTTTGTGTCACTGAAAAGTCCCACTGGGAGCAGTAAAACACTGTTGAAACACATGCATGCACACATCACAGCCCTGACTGTGGGTGACTTTACACTTTGTGGCTTTGAATGCTGCCATGTTAGATTGTGTGTGTTATTACATGTATGTGCGTTTTGTGCTACTCGACTGCTGGGGACAGTTTTCATTGATTTTTCAGCTCTGAGCCTCTTTCTTTCATAAATGAAATGAAAGGAAACACTGCTGCTTGCAGTGCCATTACACACAGCGTCTCTAAAGTTCATTAAGCATAACTAAAACCACTTGGATGATTTCTGATGTTAACAGAAAATGCTTTGCCTTATTCATAGAGGGTAAAACAGTCAAAGTTATTCGTGGTTAACTCATGGTCTACAGTGCTGGGTGAACACTGTCCTTTGACTTCTAACAGCAAGATAAATCTAACGCTAAAATTAAAAGTAAAATAAAAAAAACCAAACCTGTATATTCTGAAATGGAAATTTTGAAATACCCATTTCCAAATTTGTCGATTAAACTATAACTATGAATGAATGTTTCATTGTGGCACAAGCGTCTCCCTAAGCAAAACAAACTAAAAGTAGACTGAATTATTACAAAAATGCATTTTTGTTTAAGTAACGTTTGCCTCTTAAAACATTTTCATGTGTCTCATGAAGTATGAGTGTAATGCTAGAAATACTACATGTATACGTCAGAGACTAAAAATGTGGTTTTAGAGATGTGAAATGTTGGCGAGGTCCTAGTTCGAAGAGGGAGAAGGCCCAGTCTCCTCTGCTGTCGTCTGCTTCTTGGTACCAGAAGTATCTGATCAACTGACTGTAACGATCTATTAGCAGGACGCCAGTTAAGAGTTCAGAAAGGTAAGAAGGTCCCAATCTAGTTAGTGAGTAAAGCAGTAGTAAAGATACTTTTGTGACGACTAGTTTGCCCTTTGTAGCCTTGTAACCAGCAGCATACTTCTCACATCATCAGTGAAGCTCTGAACAGGCGTTGGAACTATTTTGTGTATAGCTGCCTTGATGGTGGACACGATGACATTTGGGGGACATAGAAGGATCCAAGAACGGGATTGTTATTGAGTTCCTGTTGTACTTTTTGCTGTGAAAGTGTAGGACGTCATGTTTACACCCACAGACCTGCCTCACTGTGGTATTGGAGACTAATCTGAAGAGCTCTGACCCTCGGCCTTTGACCCCCCCCCCCCCTAGAGCAAAGACCTTTTCCTCTCTCCTCTCCTCCACCACCTCCTTGAGGACCTCACTTTTCATTTTTTTTTTTGGCTTCTTTCCTTTCTTCTTGTCTTTCTCTTTGCTCCATTGTCCTGCTGGGGACTGGAGCAGAGCTTGGATTTAATGCCTTCACAGCTGAGGGAACCTCATCACCTTCAGGTTTTATATTCAACCTTGGGCATTTTCAAGCTGCATTGACAATGGGTTTCCATCTTTGCGCATCAACGCGGACTCGGGGCGGGGGGGGCGGGACGTCTCAAAGCAGATTTCTTTCTTGTTTCGTTAATTTATGTTTATTTTAAGCTGTGCAGTTTGACACTTAAATTAGTCTTGTGCACTTAAAATTGCCTTTACTTTGTTTTTTTTTATGCATATATCTGTAGCTAACAACAGTCTAGTTCAGCATTATTGTTTTCACTACTTTGCCTAATGACAAAACATATATTATAAAAATAACATCTTAATTTTGTGAAGCAGCTGAACAGATATGTCAAAGGCAGGCAAACCCACATGTAAGTAAAAAAGGTGATACTTAAAACTGAAAAGATATAACAGATGAGCGATGTAGCACATAAGTAAATGTGACGCATTTTGTTGTGCTGTCCATCCGCCCACCCATCCATCTTCTTTTCCCGCCCATTCTTAACTTGTTGCCATGGTTTCAGCCAATGGTGTAGGCTGTTGGTTGGCAGGTGGTGACGCCAGAGGTCAAACAGGTTCAGTGGCCGTGGCCTGATGGGGGGTTGGGATATATTTGTCTGTGGGGGTGATGGGTTGGAATGACAACGGGAAGGATAATGAGGGGCTAATGTGTTGATAAAGTTGAACTTTGGTGTAGTCGGTGGTGTTTAAACATGTAACATTTGGACAGGTCTGTCCAAAAAAAAAAAGTATTTATTTGGGCTGGAGATGGTGACGTAGCTGATAGCCAAGCGCTCATTGAGGATCAAAAGGGTTTTTTCTTTCTTTTTTGGTGAGGTGGGGGAATGGAGTATGGATGGAGGATGTCAGGTATTCTATATGTACAAAAGGCTATTCATCTGTGCTCCAGCCTCCTGGGGGGTTAGGCTGGCGTTTAGTATGGGGGTTGGCCGTTTAAAGCTATTGATGCTCAGTTGGGTGGGGTGCATGGTTCTTAAAGACGGTAAAGATAGAAGAATGATTGGCTAAAGGTTTTTGAGTTACTTAGCCAAATAAAATAACCATTCTAACATTAAAAGATGCCACTAGCATGATTCTTTAATATAAACGGCTTCATTAAAAGTGAAAGATGTAGCAGATAGAGTAGTCTTGAGTAAGGATGAAAATGAGGAACCATCACAGAGGGGGAAGGTTCATGCCTGTGGAAATCTATCCACTGGTGAACTGGTTAAAGAAGAGATGTGGGCAGGAAAACCAGATCTGTTCACACATTTTTAAAAAAGCTGATACAAATGGGTTTATTCGAGGGGAAAATGTGTCGGACTATGGTTCTCTCATTGTGTGTGGGTGGTGTGGCTACTCTTCAGGTCGAGGTGATATAGGACAGATCTATATGAGAAATGCAGAGAATTTCCCAACTGGCTACCTCAAGTCTGACATGTTCAGATAGAGACGATTTAAAAAGCTTTGTTTTGAAAATAGCATGTAGGTGAGTTTGGCAGAGTCAATATTGAGTCATTGATGAAAAACTAAACCGTTGCAGAATGGAATTTCAAACCTTCACTGTAATTAGTATTTCAGTTAAATTGCCATGTTTATTAGCTGCAAACTTGCTTTAATCACATAATTAGTTTTACCAATGCTGTCTCCTTCTGGTTTAATTTTCCACTGTTGTAAAATATGGTTGGCAGTAGTTTCAAAATACTTGGTTTGTCTTATTGTGAAGCTCCATCCACTGACGTGTGGATGAGACATTGATGCAGACTTGGAATCATTTTGGCTGGTCTGTTATTCCTGGGAAGGTTCACCACTGTTCCAAGTTGTCTCTACTTGTGGATAGTAGCTGTCATCATAGTTCGCTGGAGTCCCACAGCCTTAGAAATGGCTTTGTTTCTCCGCTGTTCTTGGGTTTCTTTAAATGATAGAAAATCATTTAAGAGCTGCGTGTGCGTGTGTGCGTGTGTGCGTGCGTGTGTGTGCATTTTACCCCACTTTGGGTGCCACAAATGTCGTGAACTGAACACTGTCGGTCAGTCTGTACACACCTCCATCCATTTTCTTAACCACTCAGCTGGTTTAGGCTCATTTTTGCAATAGGGTCCATGCCCTCTGTCGCAGGGCAGGACAGGTCGCCAGTCTGTTGTAGGTCACCACAGTGTTGTAGAGAAACCTAACTGTTCGCTGCTAGAACAGCAAATGTGCATCTTTAGATCTGTAGCTCACAGGGCTTGTTTCTAAGTGATATAAACGTCTTCATCTGAACTAATAATAGCAAAGAAGGTTGGTGCACTGTTTCGGTTTAGTGTTGGACCAAAGGCTATCTTGCTTTCATCACCTGTTTGTCACTCAGGACACGTTCTGGCTTCATTCAGCAGCTGCTTCTTCCTGTCACTCTCTTGTATTTCTGAGTCTCTCTCACACACACACACACACACACACACACACACACACACACACACACACACACACACACACACAAGCATTATTTCATTCTCTTGAAACTTTTAAAAGCTTCTTTCTGTTTGCAAAGCGTTAATATTTCCTTAAATCTTCTTCTCTCCACAGAACCAGGAAACTCCAGATCAGAAACATTCCACCTCACCTGCAGTGGGAGGTTAGTTCCCATTTCCTTTATTTTTTTTAAGGTTATAACGTACAAATTTTATGGCTGACACTTCAGATGGCCACATCACATTACAAATACGTTGCTTGCTTATGTGTAAACTGTTGCCCAGGTAAAAGGGAAACAGTGTGTGCAAAATGGCCACTACTTTCTCTCCCATCCAAGATGGGTTTTCCAGGTCTGTCTGGCAAAAAAAAAAAAAAATTGAAACAGGAGTCGTAGGTTCGAGTCCCGACTGGGGCATCTGTATGAAGTAAGATTCCTAGGCTAGACTAACCCCATGCTAACCAAGCCTACCTCAGACATGCCCGGATTAACAATGTCTGTGTCAGGTGACCCTGATGAGAAGTGGGCTACTGGAGCAAGAAGGCATCGGTGGGAAAGAGACAAAAATAGGGCACTGTTGGAATGCTACATGAATAGGATGAGCTAGGCAAGTGGCTCCTGGAGAGCCCAGGAAGAACATCTAAGATCTCTGTGCAGAAGAGCGCAGTCGTAGGAACAGCTAAGATACTGTGCCGAACCCTCAGGCTCCCAGACCTCTGGTAGAGACTTGAAGCATATATATGTGTGTATATAATGCAAACAGAAATGGAATGGAAAGAAGAGTGCAGAAGGCACTTTTAGGGCAAAACTACAGACTTTTCTTCCCCTGTTAGGCTTTAAATCTGTTGATTCATCAAACATGACTGACTACAGAAGAATGGAAAGTGGAAGGATCACTGTTCCCTACATTTGGTGTGTAGCTCTGTGCACTTTCATTGTTTTTGTGAGGGCGTGGCACACCCGTCTGCCTCTTCTGGCAAGCGAGCGCCTGTGGGAGTGGCTCCATGTGTGCATGTGCGTATGTGTGCGTGAATACGAGCCAGACTTCTGCCTTTGTCCACGTGAGGGCAACGTCTCAATGCAAAGTTGACTGAAACGTGCTTGAATCAACCTTAATAAACATCCAGAATTTACAGGCGCGCATGATTTAACCTTAGAATCACAGTTTTTGGGGTCAGGCATTTACGACATCATCATCTATGTATGAATGTAAAATAATGAAAGTTCATTAAGTATGTTGGGTTTAATAGTTTTCTGTTACATTTAAGTTGAAAAATTTCAAAGGGGAAAAAAAACAATTCAGCTTTATCCTGGTAAATTTAGAGCTTTAAGTTTGTGTAAATATGTGAACGTCTGTCTTTGGGGTGGAGTTGGGGAATCATGATGACTCGTTTCCTTTAAAATCTCCTCAGTTATTACTGGTGTGATCTCAGGTTATATTTACATGTTTAACATTTGTAGCTGATTGTCCAGCAGCCTCATTTTATTTCTCTCTCAATCTTTTTCTGCTAAATTTATCTTGATTTTTCACAGAAATGAAAACAAAGTCATTTTGTTGTCAAAGAGTGACCAGCTGAGTGGTGTTATTCTTCGTTTATTGCGTCTTTTGCTCCTGAGCTTGCAGACCTGTCAACAAACACATAAATGATGAAATATCTTATTTAAGTGAATGCCTGTCTTATATTACTCTACACATATGTTTGTGAAATAATCATTTGTGCTAACAAAAAGATGTTTTGAATTGAATGACATTGTCTAGGATTTCCTTAAAATGGTTTTGTGCTGGGATTTTATAGTGTTCCCTTCTCTCCGTCTCTCCATCAGGTGCTGGATGGACTCTTGGGCCAGTGTGGAACCGTAGAAAACTGTGAACAAGGTGAGATCTCAATAAACTTGAAGCACATTTTATTTTAGTACTTGTTACTTATGTTTTTTATCTCCCACATGTGTCATTAAATAAAAATATCTGGCAGTTAAACTTCTCCTTTTGCGCTATTGTTGGACAGCATAATGCTTTGCTGACACCTAGTGGCAGCACATTGGTAACTGCAGCTCAGCTGAGCAAGTTTGTGGTGAAAAGTGAACCACCAAAAACCTTTTGGCAAAGAGGTTTCTGCAGCGTATTTGCAGGTTTGATTTGGCACAGTTCTTTGACCTGGTGTTAAATCAGAGTTTAGACTTTACAGTCGCTCCTAATTTCAACCAATGATGTAAGGTGACTGTGTTCAACACTGCACCGTGGATTCACAAGATACTTTCGCTTGGCCCTCATCTTAAACCCACTGGTTCAGTTCCATTTATTTTATATTTTCACCATAAATTATTCAAATGAATAATTACTATTATCTTTTAAAGATTTTTACTAGAGCTCAGGGCGTTCCTATCAATGATCCAATGCTCAAAAGATATTTGATTAATTCAGATTGTCACGTTTTACATGATAGCGTTCAGTGTTGTGGCGTGAAAACCAGTGATTTGATCAAAGTGGTAGGTTATTGTTAATGATCTCTTGATTATTGTAATTAATCAAGTCTTTGCTTCAATTGTTTAAAAAGTGGGCAAAGAGAAAAGCTTCTTTTTTTAATGATGATGATGTAGAAATCCAGTTAACACTTTCCACACAGATTAAACCCCTGCATCATCACTTTTTGAATTCTCAAGCACACTACCAATATATATATTATTATTATTATTATTATTATTATATCAGTTCTTGAACATTAGTGAGAACAAGTAGATCTAGCAGGAATGTCACTGTTGAGGTACTCCATGGGACAGAAGTAGAAAATGCTGGCAGTATCATATAACCGACTGGCTAACTGTGGATATTAATCACTGATTCAATTTGAGCCTGGACCAGACAGCATGCTATTGATCCATAAACCTTAGAGTATGTGGTGCATGGAAAAAGCACAGCAACTCTTTCTGCATTAGCTGCTGGTAACATATATTCTGATCTTCACCTACAGTACCTTATAGTTACAGCCATATTATGAAAACATTAACCTATGTGTTAGTGATGCACAGTTACACCTGTACTCACTGCAGACACTTTTTTTGGATGCTTGTTATTTCCACGATTTAAGATGAGATACTCGAGTTATTCCAAAAGTTCAGAAATGACTGCGGGTGCCAATATTCATGCTTTAGAGAGCATATCTAGGATTGAGTTATTCAGTTAGAGTACACAAAAAGGCTTCTGTCTTCTAAACCATTTTGGTGTTTAGTTGTTTTTAAAGAGAACCGTAACTCTCTGTGATGTGCTTTTTAAATGTAGTAGCAAAACACAAAGAACCTTCCTGTAGCTGTCAGATGAGCAGAGATGGTGCATGACCGTGATGATTAAGGGGGTGGTTTTCTTTCTATGTGTTACATGAGCTAGTACATGAAGTGGATACTTTGTTCTATTCGGTTCAGTTTTATTTAATTATACAGCACCAAATCACCACAACAGTTGTCTCAAGGTGCCCTATATTGTAAGGTAGACCCTACAATAATGCATAATGAGAAAAACCCAACAATCAGATGGCCCCCTTTGAGTAAGCGCTTTGGCGACAGTAGGAAGGAAAAACTTCCTTTTAACAGGA